TTATATAGTACTGAAAAATTTCTCAAGATTATGAAAAATGTAAAAATTGTATCTGCAGTTCATACCCAAACACTAATTTCTATAGCATTATCATTTTAATGACAAAGGAGGTAATGAGCTAGAAAACAGCAGGTGAAAGTTTTTATATCCTGCTCTCAAGCTAGTTGGATTTATAATCATTATCTTGAAAAATTCTAATACAGAAAACAAAATTACTGTTATAAAATGTATATCAGGCTTAAACAAAATATGGGGAATAGGGAAGAAGGGGTCAAAAGACCTTTATTTTTAATGTCTCCTTACTGAATAAATTAAAATATGAAATTTGTCTTTTTTGAAACTGGAATGGTGGTGTTGATTATATATCATGTAATAAATATACTGTAATTTAGCTTGAAAGTTGCTTTACTTCATGACTAATAAAATGTACCTCTTCTGTTTGAAAAGTTTCGTATTAGAACTACACCAAAATAAAAAGCTTTGCACAGCAAAGGAAACCATCAAGAAAATCAAAGGCAACCTACTGAATGGGAGAAGATATTTGCAGATATTTGATATATTTGATAAGGGGTTAATATCCAAAATCTGTAAAGAATGTCTACAACTCAACACCAAAAAACAAGTAATCTATTTAAAAAATGGGCAGAGGACCTAAATAGACATTTTGCCAATGAAAACATACACATGGCTAACAGATACATGAAAAGCTGGTCAACATCACTATAATCATGGAAATGCAAATCGAAACCACAATGAAAAATCACCTTACATCGGTGAGAATGCCTAAATTCAAAAAGACCAGTGGTCATGAGTGTTGGGGAGGATGTGGAGGAAAAGAAACACTTGTGCACTGTTGGTAAGAATGCAAATTGGTGCAGCCACTGTGGAAAACAGTGTGGAGATTCCTCAAAAAATTAAAAATAAAACTACTATATGATCCAGCAATTCCACTACTGTGTATTTGCCCAAAGAAAACAAAAACACTAATTCAAAAAGATATATGCACCCCTAGCTTATTGTAGCAATGTTTACAATAGCCAAGATAGGAAAGCAACCGAAGTGTCCATCCATAGATGAAAGGATAAAGAAGTTGTAGTATGAACATAGAATTGAATATTACTCAGCCACAAAATAGAATGAAATCTTAGCATTTGTGGCAACATGGATGGACCTAGAAGGTATAATGCTAAGTGAAGTAAGTCAGAGAAAGATACCATATGATTTCACTCATTTGTGGAATTTAAGAAACATAACAAAGACAAAATTTGACTCAAAAACAGAGAACAAAGTGGGAAGGCGGGTAGGAGGATGGGTGAAATAGATGAAGGGGATTAAGAGGTGCAAACTTCCAGTTACAAAATAAGTCACAGGGATGAGAAGTACAACAGGGAATTCAATCAATACAATTATAAAAATGTTTGATGACAGAAGATAACCATACTTACAGTGGTAAGCACTGAGTAATATGTAGAACTATTGAATCATTAGGTTGTACACCTGAAACTAATATAATACCATATATTAATTATACTTCAATAAAAAAGTTTTAAAACTGTAAAAGTTTACTATCCTTTAAAAATCCATAATGGTTTTCCAATATCTGGTTGCACATCAGAATCATTTAGGAAGCTTCAAAAAACATGTAGCAAAAGAGAAGCTGAGTGGAACACAAATTCAATGGAATAAATGAGAGTCCTGTGAGTTTATTGAGCTAACTCAGTTCACCTCTGCCGTGCCCTTTCCTCTGCCTCTATTTTTGTGCAACAAGAAAATATGAGGAGAAAACACCATCCCTTTTCTCAGGCTCTCTATCAGAGACATCTCTGGCTCTCAAATAAATCCCACTCTTGAGATGTGTCCTGCATGGAAAAGGGTCTCTTCAGAGCTGTATTCCACGGTGCCTCAACTAGTATGAGATCCTAGAGCTCAAAACAATGAGGAGACACTCTCCACGGGAAGATACACTTCAAAGGCGTATCAAGCTTGTCAGTAAAACTTTTGGGCCTGCCCTGATTAGCAAGCAACCGAGTGTTGTGGAACAGAAGAGCACTGACCAATTGACGAGGGGGTGGATGGCTCTAAGAATAGGTCTAAATTTGGTGCAAACACCCTACTAGAAATATCTTGCTGCCCAGGAGACTGGAGCTGCCGAAAAGGGATTCTCTGTGCTGACACAGAATTGTGAGTCTGTTGGCAATTCGGAAGTCATCCTGCCAGTTCTAGCTTTTGCTGTGATCAGGGATGGTTATGCTGATAACAGGCTGGTGGTGCAGGAGTTGGTGATCCTCCTTGTTAGCAAACTTCAGGGAAGTTGTCCATTAGCTCTAAAGCTACCACACCTGAACCAAAAAAAAAAATCAAGGAAATATGAAAAAACCAGTGTAGGGGTTGTAGTAGTCTGAATAATATCCTCCAAAGATATTCATCTCTTCCTCCTGGAACCTTATATTGGCAAAAGGGATTTTGCAGATGTGATTAAGGTTGTTTAGCCCTGAAATGGGGAAATTGTCCTGGAGTATCTGTTTGGGCCCAGTGTAATTACATAAGTCTTTAAAAGCAGAGAACCCTTCCTGTATGTGGTTAGAGAGTAAAGTGACAATGGAACAGGGGCAGAGAGTTCTATGTTGTTCATTTTGAAGGAGGACGGGGCCACAAGCCAATGAACATGAGTGATATCTAGAAGCTGAGAATGACCCTTGGTTGACAGCCCTCCAGGAAATGGATGTGGACTCAGTCCTGCATCATTAAGGAACTGAATTTTGCCAATATCCCAATGAGCAAACGAAACAGATCTGTCTCTCTCAAAAATACATAAACACGAAATTTTTTTAAAGGTACTAAACAGTCCCAAAAACTATAGGAGTCTTTCATTGCTGCCCTTTTATAACCACACTTATTTCCCCATCTCTGCACCTCTAACTCCAACCCCTTGCAACCATTAATCTGTCTTCTATTTATAAAATTTTGTCATTTCAAGAATGTTATAAATGAATCATACATTTATATGTATGTATGTATGCATGCATATGTATACATATATATGTATGTAATCTTTTGGGATTAGCTTTTTTTCTGCCCAGAAAATTCATCCAAGTTGTGTATTCATCTTTTTTCATTGCTAAATTGTATTCTAAGATAGAGCACCTGTTTAATCATTTACTTGTTGAAAAACATCTGAGTTGATTTCACTTTTTTGGCTATTATGAATAAAGTTGCTATGAACATTTGTGTGCCGGTTTTTATGTGAATGTAAGTTTTTGTTTCTCTGTGAAAGTGCCCAGGAGTGCAATTGCTAGGGTGCATGGTAGTTACATGTTTAGTTTTTTTGTTTTTTTTTTTAAGAAATTGCCAAACTGTTTTCTAGAGTGGCTGTAACTTTGTTTCTTCTTTACATTTTTAAAAAAGAATTCACACCATTTTATTTTAGAATGTCCTGCCTACATTTTGCATTTGTTTGATTTTTTTCCTAATAGCATCATTCAATTTTTTCTCTATCTCCTGAATTTCCTGTAGACTGCAGGTTAGGTCTACAGGTTTGATTAGATTTAGGTTAGATGTATATTTTTTAAAGTTTATTTATTTATTTTGAGAGAGAGAGAGAGAGAGAGAGAGCTAGTGCAGAAGCCTGCCAGCAGGGGAGGAGCAGAGGTAGAGAGGGAGAGAGAATTCCAAGCAGGCTCTACACTATCAGCACAGAGCCTGATGCCGGGCTCTCACTCACAAATCAGGAGATCATGACCTGATTTGAAACCAAGAGCTGGAAGGTTAATCAATTGAGCCACCCAGGTGCCCCAGGTTAGATACATTTTATGTCACATTATTATATGAACCCCAAAGAAGTCAGAGCGTGCTGATGGGCAGCAAATCTCACTGGCACAGTGATTAAGCACCACCCAGCATAGACCCCAAATGACAACAAGCATGTATCAAGAGCTTTAGGCTCTTGTGCCATGAGCCCTGAGGACTACAAGATGAGAATCAGGTTCCTGCTCCCTTAGAACTCTTTTGAAATTAACTAATTCTAATAGTGTGAGCCCATTAGTCGTGACATGCCAAGTTGTAGCTTAGAGACAACAGTTAATTCTGCTTTGAGAATATGTGCATGGGTTTATAAGATTTAACTGAAAGCTGGAGTTTGAGCTGGCCCTTAAATAAAAGAAAAATAGATCCCAAGCAGAAAAACTATATAAGGATCCTGAGGTAGCAGAGTGCATTTTGAATGCCTTTGGTTTCCATATCAAGGAATTCAAATTTACGGCTAATAAAAAAGCTCTGAAAATTTCTGGTGTTGTTTTTATTTTTATTTTTTGGTTTTGTTTGTTTTTAAAGGTAAACAATAATATTGAGGCAGTGTAAAGGGTGGATGACAGCAGGCTGGGAGACCCATGAGTAAACCATTGCAATTGTGTATGTGAGGTGTCTTAAACTAGGTGCCATAAAGAGGAGCAGTAGAGCTCTAATATTAAGGTTAGAATTTAAAAAATGAGATTTTAAGCTTTTGTGGCTATGATATTGCTACATTAAGTAAATTTGTAACATACTATAGGTCTGGGAGAGAAGAATATTAACATGTGTTACAAGTGTATGGGACAATAAAGATGTCCAAGTAGACTGCTGCAAACATAACATCTGGAGCTCAGGGGACAGTGTAAGGAAGTGGTTATTGATATTCTAAACTAGAAGTAACTGGTTTAAACTAAATTAGAAGCCTTTAGGAAAAGAGGCTTTTAATAGTTTGAGGAGCAGATAAGAAAATCGCACTGCTGAGGAGCCTTGCTGTCCACCAGCATGCTATGACTCCTTATAAGGGAGACCGAAATGGCTTAGGTAAGCGCTTGCACCTGACCCTCCAGGGTTTTGAAGCTTACACTCTCCTAAAGCCCGCTCTATCTGGGAAACGTGCTGTTACGGGGGTGTGTACGCATGCGCGGGGAAAGGTGGCTGGGGGGCAGCGCCTGCGCAGTAGCAGGCAGGCGGTTAAGCATAGACCCGCCCAACAGAGCATGGGGGAATGGAACCCCCCAGAGAGATGGCCAAGGTGTCCAACACAGCTGATGACCGTGGCTGGCGGGTCCATACCTTGAACACAGACCCTATGCTTCCGAAGAATCGTCAGGCCAACGTGGAAACCATGGACAACAAAGAGTTGGCGTTTTCTCCACCTCGTAACCCCCAGGAGCCTAAGACCGATTTTCTGCCCAAGGAGGAGACCAAGGAGGGCACTGGGTACCGGCTGCTGAATGTGAGTGGGGGCCCGGCTGGAAGTCTATCCCCTACCTGACCACCTAGAGAACTGGGGAAGGACAGAGGGGTCAGTGCATGCAGATGGGAGGGAGGGAGAACTGCCTTACGTTGGAAGGTGTTAATACCCGAGTAAGGGCTTATTTGTGGGAAGTTGATAATTATTTAACCTGTCAGAGTCTCATTTTATTAACTATTAAATTAAGACAATTTATATAATAATTATGACAATCTCCCTTACATGTAGGGTCGTATAAAGATCCGAGGGAGGTGATGATGCAAAGTGCTTAGCACTGTAAAGCCCAGAGTCAATAAGTGTCAGCTGCTGCCATCATTAACTTTAGTAATGGTGTCATCACACATCATTGGGATTTCATTTCAAAAGGCCCAAAACTCTAGAAACTTTAGTTACCTTCGTTTTCAGTTCTTGAGGTTCTTACAGATGAACCTGTAGGAACAAATCTGCATCATGTCTACAAAGTGAATTATTGGCCTCCTGTTCTTAATTAAAAAGATTAATTTATATTTGAAAGTTTCAAGAAACCAGGAGTTGGGTGCTTAACCAACGGAGCCCTCCAGGCACCTACCAAAAAACAAAGTTATCACGTTAAAGTAACTGGCTCTTTACTCTCTACTACTTGGGAAAATCTGTAATGGCAGGAAGCTACCATGCAGTGGTGTTTTTAATTTACTTATAAGTACAACAGTATGTACAAACATTCAAAAAAGAATAGTGTGCCTCTATGCAAGGTACACTGTTTACCCAGGTTTGGTTTCCCAACTTATTTGACCATAGGATATTTTAATATTTTGAGAGAACAACAAAAAGAGCTTAGGAAATGAAATGTACACTTGGATTTAGTTATAATGACCACATAAATGAGTTCTTTTCAGACACAGATCCAGAGGAATGAGTAATGAGTTTATATACTATAGATGTTTATTATACAATACATTTAGAGTAATACAAGTATATGTTATTAAAATTATTATAATAGCTATAAGATACATAATGTAGGCCATTGAACATGGAATGGATGGCTCTATTTAATTTAATAAATGCTGCCTATGTATCAGTCCACAGATGGGACATTATATATTTGGGCAGCAGGTAGTCTTTCTGTGATTTCTTGACATTTTATGGTACGTGATTTCTTGAAAGCAGTTTATCATAGGGTTATAAGAGCAGCTCTATAAATATGTTTAGCATATTCTGTACAAAATACATTTTTTTAAACTTGGAAGCAGATATTTCTCTTATATATATTTCACTCTTACAATACATTTTGGAAAACACTAGTTTGCAGATAATGCTTAGAACACATTTCAATTCATGACTATTCAAAGTTGAGAACCATGGAGACAGGAGACAGAAAAAGCTGGTGGGTTTTGAGGGGGATGACTTGGGTCAGACATGCTTTATTGAAAAATTGTTTGACTGTTAGGATTTAAGGAGAGATTAAAGAACGTAGGCAGTCAGTACAGTAAAGTAAAATGTCTGAGGGAATGGAAAAATATGGTGTCTAGCGCACAGAAAGAGGTATCCTTCTTGGATAGGAACAAAGGCATCTCTTCCTCCAGACCAACGTACATTTTATCCTTAGATCACTGGTATCCATATCTTCTGGGATGCTTATTAAAATATAGACTCTTGGACCTCCCTCTTAGACCTACTGAATCAAAAGCCTGGGGCCCCAGGAATATGCTCAAATTTTAAACTACCTCAGTGGTTCTTAGATTCACATTTGAAAATTATTGTAGATAGAGGAAAAAGATAGGCATTAATGTGGGAGTCGTAGATTGAGGGAGTATGCTAGAGAAGAAATCAAATGAAGCCAGAAGAGTTTCATGAACAGGATAAAAGTAAAAGGAGGGATAAGTGACTGGAGATCTCAGTGAGATTAAAAGAAAGTTTATTGAGTATAAATTACGAAGGGTATTGGAAGGATTAACTAGAGAGAGTGCTCCAGTTGAGGGATACTGCAGTTTCTGAGTTCGGTAAAAATGTGGATTATGTACACAAACTTGTAGATTTGACCTAGTTCTGTGAAAAATGCATTAGTATTTTGACAAACATTTCATTAAATCTGTAGATTGCTTTGGGTAGTATATAATTTTACCGATATTTATTCCCTCAATCCATGAGCATGGAATATCTTTTACATTTGTGTCATCTTCAATTTCTTTCATGAGTGTATTATAGTTTTCAAGAGTACAAGTCTTTTACCTTTTTGGTTAAGTTTATTCCTAGGTATTTAAAAATTTTTGGTGCAATTCTAAGTGGAATTGTTTTCTTAATATCTATTCCTGCTGCTTTATTATTAGTGTCTAGAAATGCAACAGGTGTCTGTACATTGATTTTGTATCCTGTGACCTTACTGAATTCACTTTTCAGTTCTAGTAGTTTTTTTGGTGGAGACTTGAGGGTTTTCTATATATAGTATTATGTCATTTGCAAATATTGAACGTCTTACTTTTTCCTTACTAATTGAACGTCTTCTTTTTCTTGTCTGATTGCTCTGGCTAGGATGTCCAGACTATGTTGAACAAAAGTGGTGAGAGTGGGCATCTATGTTTTGTTCCTCATGTTAGTGAAAAAGCTCTCAGTTAGTTATAAGTTTTTCATATATGGCCTTAACTATGTTGAGGTGTGTTCCCTTTGAACCTACTTTAAGTTTTTTTTTTTTAATCACAAATGGATATTGTACTTTGTCACATGTGTTTTCCGCATTTATTCAGATAATCATATGGTTTTTATCCTTTCACTTGTTGATGTGATATATCACATTAATTATTTTGTGACTATTGAGCCACCCTGTGTCCTAGGAATAAATCCCACCTGATCGTGGTGAATGATTCTTTTCATGTATTCCTGACTTTAGTTTGCTAATATATTTTAAAATTTTTTTAATGTTTAATTATTTTTGAAGGAGAGAGAGACAGAGCGTGAGCAGGGAAGGAACAGAGTGAGAGGGAGACACAGAATCCAAAGCAGATTCCAGGCTGAGGTGTCAGCACAGGGCCTGATGTGGGACTCGAGCTCACAAATTGTGAGATCATGACCTGGGCCGAAGTTGGATGCCCAACTGACTGAGCCACCCTGGCGCCCTGCTCATATTTTGTTGAGAATTTTGCATCTGTGTTCATCAGAGATCTTGCCGTGTAATTCCCTCCCTCCCTCCCTCCCTCCGTTTCTCTCTCTCTCTCTCTCTTTTTGTAGTGTCTTTATCTGGTTTGTGGTATTAGGGTAATGTTGGCCTCATAGAATGATTTTGGAAGTTTTCCTTGTTCTTTTTTTTGGAATAGTCTGAAAAGAATAGATATTAACTCATCTCTAAATGATAGAACTCGGGGCGCCTAGGTGGCTCAGTCAGTTGAGCATATGACTTTGGCTCAGACCATGACCTATGTGGTTTGTGAGTTTGAGCCCCGTTTCGGGCTCACTGCTGTAAGCCCAGAACCCACGTTGTCTCTGTCCTTCTCCCTCTTGTGCTCTCTCTCTCAAAAATAAAAATTAAAAAAAAAAAATGTTTGATAGAACTCAGCTGTGAAGCTGTCTGGTTCTGGACTTACATTTGTTGGGAACTTTTTGATTATTGATTCAATTTCATTGCTGGTAATTGGTCTATTTAAATTTTTATTTCTTTCTGATTCAGTTTTGAGTGGTTATATGTGTCTAGGAATTTATCTATTTCCTCTAGATTGCCTATTTGTTGGCATTGAATTTTTCATAACATTTTCTTACAGTCTCTATTTCTGTGGTTTTGGTTGATATTTCTCCCCTTTCATTTCTGATTTTGTTTATTTGAGTCTTCTCTTTTTCTTTTTATGTGGAGTCTGGCTAAAGGTTTATCAATTTTGTTGAACTTTTCAAAGAACCAGTTCCTCATTTCATTGATCTTTACTTTCCTTTTTTTTTTTTTAGTTTTTATTTATTTTTGTTCTAATCTTATATCCTTTCTTGAACTCATTTTTAGCTTTGTTCCTCTTTTTCTAGCTCTGGTCATTGTAAGGCTAGGTTGTTTATTTGATATTTTTCTTCCTTTTTGAGGTAGGTTTGTATTGCTATAAACTTAAACAGCTTTTCCTGCATTCCAAAGATTTTGTACTATTGTCTTTTCATTTTCATTTGTTTCCATTTGTTTTTTGGTTTCCTCTTTGATTTCTTGATTGACCCAGTCATTGTTTAGTAGTATGTTATTTAACCACCACATATTCCTGTTCTTTCCAGTTTTTCTTGTTACTAATTTCTAGTTTCATAGCATTGTGGTCTTTTTTTTTTTTTTTTTTTTTTCC